GAAAGACAGCGGAGGATCCTCAATTCTCTCCATTCTTATCTCTTTATATAAGTCTTTACTCTTTATCAAACCTAATCCTCCACTGTTTATGAGGGACATTTCATTAAATCACAATTCGTACCTTATTAACAACGATATAATGCGCTTCTCAATTATGACGCGGTTTTTTTCGTGACATCACAGACTACGATCATTACCTAGGTAAAGAAGACGCCGTCGTTGTTCGCCGAACAGCCACAAAATACATTAACACACTAGAGTGGTTGCAGTACAACGGCATTCTTCATTTCGGGAGCATAACTTGGTGGAATGAACGGATCACCATTGGGAGTAATCTCCTCGAATGTATACGACTTCGGATTGTAAAAGTCGACTGGTGTAGGAGAAGTATGACCGTAGGTGGGAAGAAGATAAGCTGGCTCATTCAATGGTGGTGGTGGCGGTGGGGGTGGTGGTCCACATTGCAGCATTCGTGGGGCTCCCATAGCTGGGAGGCCTGCAAAATCTGAAAATGAAAGACTGACGAAATTGTTCACAACACGACATCAATGACAATCTGGTTGATGTAGGTATAAATTTTCGTTTTATTCTATTGTTCTTCATCCATTATAGCAAATCACTTTGATACTTTGAGCAAATATGCAATAGCGGAAGGAAGGTAAGGTAGTTGACTGTCTTAATCTACACCTATGCTACAAATAAAATTTGTGAAAAAACGCGATGTCGCGTCGGAAGCGCCGCATGCAAAGGTAGTGTCCCAGATAGACTGGGAAATGCTTCTGAATATATTTTCCTATTTACTTTCTTAACTACAAGGGAGTTATGGTCAGCGGCGACATCGCGTTTTTTTTTCGCAAATTTTAACGCCTGTAATTTGTATCGTAAGTGGATTTTTCTGGAAACTCATAAACACTCATAATAGACATATTCGGAACAGCTAGTGCGGACGATGGGGTAAAAACGACTACAATTCCAACTTTACATTTTCCCAGAAAAATTGAGATACAGTACACAGGGTATTTAGTTAAAACAAATCTTTATGATTCTACGGAACTTTCTACAAAGTACAATAGTCCTAGAATGCCATAATCAGTTAAATTAAATAGTAATGCTGTACGAACCCTTCGCCTATCATCTCCCCTCATATTAAAATGACAAGAAAAATGGTGAAAGTATTCTTATAATATGGAGCTAGAAAGGGGTTCGTATATTCAGGATTAGCAAGGTGGCCGCAACCCTGCTGAAAGCTGTTCTTAAGTTCACGAAGTTTTAGGATCAAATCGACTTTTTTATTATAGAAACCCAAATACTTAGCATAACCACACAGCATGACAGGTATTGCTTTGTTTGTTGCTGAAGGCAGTTGCCTTAATTTACGACCCCAATATAACCCTGTTGGAGTCCCAAATAGACTACGCTGGATACGGTCACCAAGGCGCTACAAATTCTAATTCCGCATTAGTTACGGTAGCTGATTTACCTTGAAGGCTAATTCCGTGTAAAGAGCAATACCTCAATTGCAATAGTTATATTGTGAAAATTCCCTAACTGAAGATTTTATTGTTCCGAAACGGTGAAAAGAGGGTACAAAGCT